TCCACTCGGCTCCATCCCATCCGCTCAATGACCACCGAACCCCACCCTCACCCCCTCCATCCCCTCTGTCCCTCAGACACAGCCATTCCTTTGCTCTTCCGTCCGTCCATCCATCCGTCCATCCATCCCACACCCCACTCATCCACCCACTCATCCACCGACCTTCTCCCTCCTCTCCATGTATCCATCATCCATCTTCTCCATCTGTCAATCTTCTCCATCCATCCATCCCTCCGTCTTCTCCATCCACTTTCCCACCTATCCCTTCTCTATATCCGTCCATCTTCTCCATCCCTCCCTCTGTCTTCTCCATCCATCTTCTCCATCCCTCCAGCCACTGATTCAACACTCCCACTCACCCCCCCCAGGACCCCCCTCTCCCAGGCAGCACCTCCTCACCTCCCCTCCCACCACCTCTTCCAGATGACGTCGGCCACCAAGGTGTACTACAGCCAGACCACGCAGACCGACAGCCGCCCGCTCATCGGCTCGGGGCTGCGCCGGCGCCGGGTGATGACCAAGGATGGCCGCAGCAACGTGCGGATGGAGCACATCGCCGACAAGCGCTTCCTGTACCTCAAGGACCTGTGGACCACCTTCATCGACATGCAATGGCGCTACAAGCTGGTCCTCTTCTCCGCCACCTTCGCCGGCACCTGGTTTGCTTTTGGTGTTATCTGGTACCTGGTGGCCGTGGTCCACGGGGACCTGCTGGAGTTCGACCCGCCGGCCAATCACACGCCGTGCGTCATGCAGGTGCACACCCTCACCGGCGCCTTCCTCTTCTCCCTGGAGTCCCAGACCACCATCGGCTACGGCTTCCGCTACATCAGCGAGGAGTGTCCCCTCGCCATCGTCCTGCTCATCACCCAGCTGGTCCTCACCACCATCATGGAGATCTTCATCACCGGCACCTTCCTGGCCAAGATCGCCCGGCCCAAGAAACGCGCCGAGACCATCAAGTTCAGCCAAAACGCGGTGGTGGCCCAGCACAACGGCAAGACCTGCCTGATGATCCGCGTGGCCAACATGCGCAAGAGCCTCCTCATCGGCTGCCAGGTGACGGGCAAGCTCCTCCAGACCCACCTCACCAAGGAGGGCGAGAGCGTCCGCCTCAACCAGGTCAACGTGGACTTCCAGGTGGACACCTCCTCCGACAGCCCCTTCCTCATCCTGCCCCTCACCTTCTACCACGTGGTGGACGATGCCAGCCCCTTCCGGGACATGGCCCTACGCACGGGCGAAGGCGACTTCGAGCTGGTGGTCATCCTCAGCGGCACCGTGGAGTCCACCAGCGCCACGTGCCAGGTGCGCACCTCCTACCTGCCCGAGGAGATCCTCTGGGGCTACGAGTTCACCCCGGCCATCTCCCTCTCGGCCAGCGGCAAGTACGTGGCCGACTTCAGCCTCTTCGACCAGGTGGTGAAGGTGGCGGTCCCCTGTTGTCTCCACGAGACCATCCGGTTCGGGGACCCCGAGAAGGTGAAGCTGGAGGAGTCCCTGCGGGAGGCGGCGGAGCGGGAGCGGGAGGGAGCGCCCCTGAGCGTCCGCATCAGCAACGTCTGAGCGCCCGCCGGGACGCCGCCGACGGTGCCACCAGCCCCGGAGAACATCACCAGCCCCTGGACGTGCCACCACCGCCGC